AGCAGTGAATGCCATGCATGGGTTTACCTCACACGCTGAATTTCATAATTTGACATCCAAATCACAGAAGAGTGGTGTTCCAAACTTTACGTAATTGCACTCCATGTCCTGCGAGCTACAGTAGAATACTTAAATAGAATAATAGTTATAGCACGTTCTTAGAAACAAATCGTATAGGTTCGAGGCTGTCAACCCAGAAATTTGTGATTTCACAGCCATAGATGTTACCAGTCACGTCACTGTATACAGTAGGTATGCAGAAGAAAATACTAGTAACTCTTTGTGGAAGAGCTGTGCCAAAATGTGTACAGTACAGTAAATTCATAAAAAGAAGTGAGAAAAGCAGTGACAAGGCTGTGCATGATGTAGATCTACCAGTAAGTACAGTGCACCAGTGAAACTGTTGGTGTAGTACCGGTATACTACAAGTACTATAATTATGGCATGGCCCATGCCACTACAATCTATTTGCAGTGGGCCGCAGTAGGCCAGTGCAACAGAAAGCAATTCAGTAGCTGTGTGCAATGTGAACATCTATGACATGCAAGTAAACTGCCATACAGCACAATCGATTACTCTCAGCCCACATAAGTACAATGTAGGCCAGTCAGTAGTATAGATACATAGAGCACACTCTACATCATACATAGTCAGCACCAAATTTATTATTGTCGATGTACTTTGCAATGATGAAATGATGGCAAGCATGCTTGATTCATCATAATACTGCCTTGAACTTGGTTGGAAATTAGTTGTAAGTTCAGTGGTCGAGGTAAGCAGAGCTGCTCCAGCTTTCAGAATCCTGCAGAGAAAAAGGCAGACAGCAAATGTAGGTATAATAGTAGCAAGCTGACGTAAAGAGCCTGTCTTTCAATACAATAATTCTATCCACTGCATGGACAGACCTGGTGCTTCATTCACCTCTGTTTCTTGCTTTCTCAGAAAACCTACTTCCTTCTTCTGCCATCTAGCTCATGACATACATTTTCTTTACGCCTATTCAGCCGTGGTCGACTTTCGCCCCTCCTGTTTGATTGGCAATTGCAGTCAACCTGGGGAATACTGACCCTCGATTGTGAATGAGAAAAGTGTCGCTATCGGTGTATTGTTGTTACTCGTGAGGTTGGAAGTATGCAATCAAATGGTCACTAGATCTGAAGATTGTGTCGTTATTTGCGAGTTGTTTTGTAAACCCGAGGTACATTATTCACAAGGTGGATTGTACATGCTATGGGATGTAGAATAACTAACCAAACAAGAATGTATAAACAATTAAATGAAACAATTCCAGAACGTTTTCGTGTGACTATCAAACAAGAATGGTGTAACAATGATTTGAGTCTATATCCAATTGGATGAACCTAGAGTGCATGATCCATTCCAGAAAGGCGACTTCAGTGAGTCTTGAGTTATCAGCAGCATCATACTTCCATTGAGCTTTTTTTTCTTTTTCGAAACGACCCTCTCTTTTCAATTCGAACGAAGGTCAACATACGATTATGGCAGGCATGCACGCACTGATCTTCACTGTATACATGTGCATGTATACTGTACTGTAGTCTGTACAGTCAACTAGTCGTGTTCCATTTGGCTTCCATAGGTGCAACTTGGCTTACGGTAAGTGTCACTACAAGTGCATAGTAGCCCCCCCCCCCCTCCGGGAGTGCGCGTGAACAGGAACTGTGAACTGGTAAAAGAATTATTCGACGCCTTCGTTCGTTTCGATGGAGAAGGTTCATTTGGCAAATTGAGGCCTTCGTTCACCTCTTGCCCCAGGAGCGAAATTTTCACTCCATGGCTGCCTGTTTGAGCCGTCCTTGTGGAAGGGTTGATTTATGCATGCCCGCATATAGACCTTTATTCGATAAACGTCACAATCACGTGAGGGGTCCCGGGAACCAGGGAGCGGCAAGAGACCTGCACTCAGTGCACAGAGGACTCGGCGTGGGAACATAGGAGTAGAAAAATACCGGTATTTTACTACTCCCTTGTACGAACTGGGCCTTTCTTGCCACTTGTTTCACGTACGCGTGCCCCAGCTTACGACAAATCCCTGGAGGCGAGTCCAAAAATCATGTTATCGAATACTAAAGGTCTATAGAATTGCTGATCTAGACGTTTCGGTTTAACAGAGCAAGCCTGTGATTAAGAGCTACACAGAACACAGATCACGTAGAACTACCCAATATGGGGTCAAAACTCACAACATCTTGGGTACTTTGGTCTCATGTCGTCTCCCCGGGTGCTATGAATCCCTGATGCACATTTATCTACATATACAATGTAACCGTAACTCTACCAATGTTGCGGACGATGACCCCCCCCCCCCGGCATACAGAAAGTTGCTATGTCCTGGCCCTCATACAGCATTGGGGAGGCACTGAATCACTTTTGCAAAAAGGACTAGCCGAAAGTGGCACAACAAATTTTCTATTCTCAGAAAAGCGGCGTTCCAGCCGAGTTTATCTTTTAATTAAATGGTTTTCTCGGTTGGGATTTCATACCTGACAACCATCCCGATTTGGCCGGGACTGTCCCGACATCGAGGGCGGGCATAGGCACCCAAAAGTGCATTCGTTCCATGCCTCACCGCGAGCTACATTTGTATACATTTTCATGCCTAGGTACAGTATGTCATTCGATCTCAGGTTTGCAAAGGTTGGCAGGTATGAGATTTTTAGAGTGACCAGTTCTGACTATTGCCACCTGCTGCGCAGAAGTGTCATTCCTACATCCTGGCTGCAAACATACCTCCTCCCCCCCCCCCCCCCCCCCCCCACACACACACCACCACCAACAATGTTGGATCCTATTTACAGGACCTCACTCTATATGAAAGTGTAGCAGCGGCACTGCCAAAGTATAAAAACAACATTTGAAATGCAAGCTCCATTGTGCATGCATGGAGGGCATGGGGAAGAGACTGAGAGGGTGAATGAAAGTGAAGGAAATTTGTTCCGAAATCAAGAGAATCCGAGGAACCCTTGCTGCATTCTTCAGTTCGATACCGTCAGTGGGTGCATCTCAGATGTGTTGTGTGCCCAGACATACAAGTAGCACTAACCTGAGCATGAGAGCTGCTTGTCATCGTCGTGGTCAGGAAAACGGAAGGACGAACGAAGTAGATTGCTGACCATGACGAACAACAGTGCATATCCAGACGACAGACGGCTTGCCTGAATCAGTCTGGTGCATCTTCAGGAATCTTCTTTCCTAATCGCATTCAGCAGCCAGCTTCGAGGTCAAGAGCGCGATGATATTTTCAGAAGGAATAATTATTTTCAATTTTTTTTAAATTTTGGAGAAGAAGCTTCCTTTCTAAAAAAAAGCGTTCCTTGCTTTCACGCAAGGTGCCTTGCCGGACATGTCGTCGACAGCACAGTGTCGGCAGATCCACATTTGTAGGCTGCAGACACATGAGACCCGGCAGACGTTTTGATCAGCCCGGCCTGGTGGTGAGATTTTGGACCCGGGAGTACTAAAAACTGCTCGCATCCCAGGGTGCTCAGTTTCGCTCTATCCGATCGAGTAAGGCTTCCAGAAAGGCCCTCAGGTGCGCGGCCTGCGGTGCCATAATATACCTCTTAGCCCGCGAGATCGTAGCCCGCAACACCCTGACCCCCATACTGTGCGTTTTCGATTTCGGTTTCGATTTCGATTTCGGTTTCTCGTTTCTTGAATTGGCTTGTACGCGCTGGGTCTGCAATTATTCATGAACTGACTTGTTACAATCGTGTCTTTGTTGTATGCGCTGTGTCTGCAAAGCTAGTCGTCGTGTGAAGTGTCTTGCCGTGCATCGTAGAACCATAGTAGCGTATATCGTGTGAGCACGAACCGTCGTGTGATAAGGCTACCGGTAAAATAGTAATTTAGTTATTCTTTTGGAGATCGGCCGGCGCTGCCGCAGTGCCGCAGGATGCATGCTCAACACAAATACGTACGTGTCCATGGTGTGGAAGAAAAACGGTCATAGATCACGATGATGATTCATGCCTTGGCACCTGTCTACTTTGCAAGAATGCAGGTGTTTTGCTGGTAGAAACGGTTGGCTGTCAACATGGATTGGTGGCATTCAGTGTATACAGATCTACTTTGCAAGATTATGTAGGTGTTTTGCTGGTAGAAACGGTTGGCTGTCAACATGGATCGGTGGCATTCAGTGTATACAGATCTACTTTGCAAGAATGTAGGTGTTTTGCTGGTAGAAACGGTTGGCTGTCAACATGGATTGGTGGTATTCAGTGCATTTGCGTCAAGTCAGTCATTATCATACTACCATGCACGTCGTTTGACGCAACAACAATGTCAAGCAGGGGTTGCACGCACTACTACTGCTACTGCTAGTGATACTCAGCCAGGCTGGGACCGCTCCCCGTTCTTGTGTCGCGCATGTGACAAGGCGGGGTCAAGGGGGGAAATGTTCCACACACCGACTCATTCAACCATATAAATTAAATAGTGATGAGGCGTTGTTTCGCGAGTTGAGGACGACAACAGTCAATATTTCTCATTCAGTCTATCCAGAGAAAAAAGGTCATAGATCACGATGATGATTCATGCCTTGGCACCTGTCTACTTTGCAAGAATGCAGGTGTTTTGCTGGTAGAAACGGTTGGCTGTCAACATGGATTGGTGGCATTCAGTGTATACAGATCTACTTTGCAAGATTATGTAGGTGTTTTGCTGGTAGAAACGGTTGGCTGTCAACATGGATCGGTGGCATTCAGTGTATACAGATCTACTTTGCAAGAATGTAGGTGTTTTGCTGGTAGAAACGGTTGGCTGTCAACATGGATTGGTGGTATTCAGTGCATTTGCGTCAAGTCAGTCATTATCATACTACCATGCACGTCGTTTGACGCAACAACAATGTCAAGCAGGGGTTGCACGCACTACTACTACTACTGCTAGTGATACTCAGCCAGGCTGGGACCGCTCCCCGTTCTTGTGTCGCGCATGTGACAAGGCTGGGTCAAGGGGGGAAATGTTCCACACACCGACTCATTCAACCATATAAATTAAATAGTGATGAGCCGCTGTTTCGCGAGTTGAAGACGACAACAGTCAATATTTTCTCATTCAGTCTATCTAGAGAGCTACGAATTCAAGCGTGACTTCGTGCTTGAAGTTCAGAGAGCGATTCCTCATACCGGTGAAGTGTTTTAGGGATGGCGGACAGGTGAGCGAGTTACCTTGAATTTCACATACTTGTACATGTAGTGCAACTACACTTCATAGCATTAGCAGCTAGCCTGAAGGGTTGGGAACCTTTTTTGTTTCAATACTTCGTTGCTGTTTCTTGTCTTTGCCATTCGGCCCGATGAAAAGCTCAAAATCTGGGAAGGAGGGCAATCCCAACGGCGGAAATCAGAATAAGCCTCCACCTACAGTCCATTCATAAAAAGATGGGTCCTGGCTCTGGCGAGCTCCCGTATTTGGCGATTTTTCGTGATTTCATCGTACACAGTGCAGTGCTGCGAACTTTGAAATTTGAAAAAGGGTCCAAAAAGGGTGCCTGAACTGGGGTTCGAACCGCAGAATGCACTGTTGCAGGCGGGGTCAAACGGCCTGGATTTTGATGGTTTTTCCCAATTCAGTGCTTTTGGGGCAAAACCTGGCCGAAATCCTATTCTTGCTATGGCTTGCTTTTTGGACAAAAAAACTTCAGAAACATAATTGGAAGAGGATTCCATATGGGATTGCAGAAAAAAATTCTAAAAAAACTCAACGTTTGACCCATTTATGGCCAAAAGCTAGAAGTTCATTTTTTTCTGAATGGACTGTAAGTGAGTACACCAAATCTTGTTTATTCCCGTAGCTATGCAAAAGACGTTACTTCAGTTATAGGGGATTCACACACACGGGTAAACCTGAGGTCACGGGACAAGGTAAAAGTTCAGACCTTCGGTCAAGGGAGTGGGGCCGTTCACACCCGTGGTCAGTTTTCCCTTGCCCGCACGTTTGGCCATGACCTTGTGGCGGGGCAACTAAAAAAATAATCTGTACTGCATTTTTGTAGTGCATTCTGTACTGTATCTTGCTTTCGCCATGCACGATTTTTCGATGGACACTGTCTGAAAATGCAAGTTGCGATGCACTCGTACAACTAGGGTTCAGAGTTCTCGCCAAAGACAAGATCTACGCGTGTGCGTCTTATAGCCATGGGATTTTTCCCTTGACAAACGCCCTGCGGCCCACGGCCAAGGCTTTGCCAATTTTTTCCCCGAGAGGGTCTTCCTTTCCCCCAGTTATGGAAACTATGGTACTGGGGAAAAGGAAGAACCTCTCGGGCAAAACATGCGGCAAACATGTGGCCAAGGGAAAACTGACCACGGGTGTGAACAGCCCCCACTCCGTTGACCGAAGGTCTGAACTTTTACCTTGTCCCATGACCTCAGGTTTACCCGTGAGTGTGAATCCCCTATAAGGCCTCGGTCACACTACGGCAAAAATGCTGCGTCAGCGTCAGAATTGGATTGGATTTTTTGGATTGGATGGAGAATCATGAGCTTTTCCATGGCAACTGACGCAAACGCGGGAAGTTTGAGCGTCAGACGCTGCTGCGTCTTATGTGGGGAAACCGGCTGCGTTGCCGCTGGTGGGAGTGACGCTTGGCGGAAAAACAGTGTGTTTCAAGTAAAATTAGTTTCAAGACAGTTGCTTGAGTTGAGCAGTCATTCGACATTCGTCTCTTTAAGGTTTATTAACTGTTTTGTTCCCTCTTTTTTTCGAGATGAGTCCGTGGACCTACGAGGCCGAGGCTGTTCTGCTCCGAACCTGGCGGAAGAGCAAGGCGTTTTATGAGAAGAAAATGATGTCGAGAAAGGACCAGTTGTTTGAGTGGGTCATCGGCCAAGTGGAGCCTGTTGACTTGTGAGTGTTTCGTTGTCGTCAAGAGCCCGAAAAAGGACAACCAGTAGGACGAAGTCAGGAGAAACACAGCTGCGATGCAGACTGTTCTTGCCTGATCCATGACACTACAACTGAAAATGGCTTCAAATTCGGAAAGAAACAACAACGATCGTGCACGCGTGGACCTTTCGTCTTCTTGTAATCAAAAATCAACGAAAAATTTGAAAACTTTGTCCGACAATATTTTGTATAATAAGCGAAAGGCCGGTTTCCGAGGGAATCCGTGTCGTCATTGAGTTTCCCTGGTGATCTTGTGACGTAGACATATGCGACAGGCTGCGGCAGTCATGAGCTGCAAAAAAAAACACGGTGTGACCCCGCGTCTGCGTCAAGTGCTGAGGCTTGACGCTGCGTCCAGCTTCAAACTTGCCGTAGTGTGACCGAGGCCTAACGTCTGTCGCTAGCCAGGGTCCACACAGCTTTAATTTCGTGTTTATTTTTTGTTAGGCTGTGTTTACCTGAGAAATTTCAACCCAGGTCGAGTTCATCCCGGGTTGAAAGTCTGTACGATAGACAAAATAGGTGAGCGTTTACATGAAGACAGTTGACCCGGGTCAAATACTGATATGCCGCCAAAAGTCCACTTCTAGAGTCCTGTACTGTCACGTGAATCCGTTTGCGCAAAAACTGCATGTGCAGTGCTGTTCAAACCTGGCGCGAGATACGCACAGAAGTACGTTTGTACGATTTTCTTGACCCGGGTTGTGAGGCGCGGTGCAGGCGGCATTTGTCACAACTGCGGACACTGTGCTCCATGTCGGCTGACAATCGTGGCCAAAAAGCAATCTGCCGGGAACCGGACTTCGTGTTCGTCAATCCTTGATGGGATGCGTGTAGATCAGACAGGGCATGTTGCCGGAGAGCGACAGGAATCAGGAGACGGGGTCCTTTCATCACTAAACCACTCACAATAGAGAGGTGACCGTGACCATTCCAGTACGGCTGGAGTGACTCAGATATGAGGGACCTCTTAGCAGGGAAACCGATGAACTGAACTAGGCACCGGTAGTCAGTGGGGGCCTGGGAGACAGAGCAGAGCTCGTGGTACTTCAGGTCACCAGACGTATTGAGCGTGCACGAGCGAATAGCAGCGCCCTGAGAGGCAGTACTCTCACCCAGTTCATCGTCGGAACAGGGTGTGCTAACTGGATGGCGGGACAGAGCAACAGGGAAAGCATGATCAGTGCCTTTCCGCCAGGTTGCTTGTAACTGATAGGGCCGAAGAGGGTTCCGTGACTGGCTCGATAATACGATCATCGACCATACTGTCCAGTTGGGACTTTACCTGATCCCGGTTGGCCAAACGGTATTGTGCGGGTAGTGCGGACGCAGCTGGTCTCTGCAACTGGTTTCAACCGGATGTCCATGGTAGCTCCTTCAAGGGAGGCCGCAGCACGTTAAAGCTACAGCTGGTCGACAGTCCTCTTGGATGCCGACGGGCACATGGATAGAAAGTGACCGGTGCGTTGGCAGCCATTGCATTTGCGATCGGCAGCAGGGCAGGGTCGCTTGTTATGCGCGGTGCGGCCACAGTTGGGACACTTATCCCGCGAGGGCTTGCTGCCAGACTTTGAATCCTTGGCTGCGTGAGCTCGAGCTTGCTTAGCATTTGATAATACGCGACCTAGGGGGAATGTTCCACATACCGACTCATTTAACCATAGTGATGAGAAGTTGTTTTGGCGAGTTGAAGACGACAATAGTCAATATTTCTGACGCAGCTGAAACTATCCGGAGAGCTACGAATTCAATCGTGATTTCGTGCTTGAAGTTGAGACAGCGATTCCCCTTACGGGTAAAGTCTTTTAGCGATGGATCCAGGGTGAGCGAGTTACCTTGAATTTCACATACTGGTAGTGCAACTACACTTCATAGCAGTAAACCTGAAGGGTTGGGAACCCTTTTTGTTTCCGTCTTTGGTTGCTGTTTCTTCTTTTTGCCATTCAGCCCAGGGGAAAGCTCAAGCTCAAGCCTCGAAGATGGTGTAGCTAATCTCAACCTCCAAGATACGTCGGTGGCAGGCACTCCCGAGGAGCCTGAAAACAAGTAAGTACACCTCATATTGTTTACTAATTTCGCTGCCACAATTGTACGTGTACGCACACAAGCATGTGACAAGGCGTGACCTAGGAGAAAATATTCCACACACCTACTCATTAAACCATAGGGATGAGCAGTTGTTTAGCGAGTTGAAGACGACAATAGTCAATGTTTCTGATGCAGTCCAGGCGAGTAGCCCGCATGGGGGAAGTGCACTCCCCTAAACATTTCGACCTAGATTCAGCATGCACATACTGACGATGAGTGACATGCACCTGTCATACACATAATGCGGCCGTGCCCCCCCCCCCCCCCCCCCGCCTCCCCCCCCCAACCCAAAGGGAACCAACTACGCCCCTGTAGTCTATCCAGTTAGCTACGAATTCAATCGTGATTTCGTGCTTGTAGTTCAGAGAGCGATTCCTCTTACTGGAAGTGCACTCCCCTAAACATTTCGACCTAGATTCAGCATGCACATACTGACGATGAGTGACATGCACCTGTCATACACATATTATGCGGCCGTGCCTCCCCCCCCCCCCCTCCCAAAGGGAACCAGCTACGCTCCTGTACTAGGCTGCAGTCTATCCAGTTAGCTACGAATTCAATCGTGATTTCTTGCTTGTAGTTCAGAGAGCGATTCCTCTTACTGGTTTCAAAGAGCGCATGTCTGAGAATACCAAAGTATGTGTGCAAGTGGATCTCTCCGATTTCGCTCAAAATTTGGAGGTAGGTTCTCCCTGGAGAATAAATCGACAGTGCAAAACCCTTGAAAAATGGTTTTGAAGGAACCTGAGAACTTGCATACCCTCACAAATGGCCGAAAAATCACATTATCTTTGGGTCTACAAAAGAGTCACACCACAGCGTACATGAACGTCACCATGCCAGAAGACGAGGGCCATCACCCCCTGACGCCACAAATGATCGTCTTTAAAATGGCCAAGTTACAAGTGCCGATAAAAAAGACAGCTACGTCGTCAATTAGCAAGAACTATACACTGGCAGATAGTAGAACACCTCTTCCAGCACCGAGGACATGTCCCTCATCTTCCTTTTCGAGTTTTCTTGTTATGAGTCTGTTATGACTATATTTATTTTTTGATTTTTTGATTGTTGTTGAGACAAAACCAGGTTTTATCTCAGAAGGGGCGTGAGAGTATAATTATTATTATGTTACTTCGTTTGTTATTTTGTGTCCGGTTGACACCCATGGAATTTTATTTTCGAAGGGGCGTGTTATGTTATGACGTAATGTCGTACAACTTTAGCCCTACTGTGTATGCACGCACGCATATCTTTGAAAGTCTTCTCTGTCGTTTACAGATTGAATCTTGTCAATATTTCTACTTCGTGTATTCTAACTAATAAACTACTTGTCTCTTGTCTACCGAACCTAACAGCGGCGAAGAACATACTGCCGAGGGGACTGGAAACAAGTAAGTACACCTCATTTTGTTTACTAATTTCGCTGCCACAATTGTACGTGTACGCACACAAGCATGTGACAAGGCGCGACCTAGGAGAAAATGTTCCACACACCCACTCATTAAACCATAGGGATGAGCAGTTGTTTAGCGAGTTGAAGACGACAATAGTCAATGTTTCTGATGCAGTCCAGGCGAGTAGCCCGCATGGGGGAAGTGCACTCCCCTAAACATTTCGACCTAGATTCAGCATGCACATACTGACGATGAGTGACATGCACCTGTCATACACATATTATGCGGCCCTGCACCCCCCCCCCCCTCCCAAAGGGAACCAGCTACGCCCCTGTAGTCTATCCAGTTAGCTACGAATTCAATCGTGATTTCGTGCTTGTAGTTCAGAGAGCGATTCCTCTTACTGGTTTCAAAGAGCGCATGTCTGAGAATACCAAAGTATGTGTGCAAGTGGATCTCTCCGATTTCGCTCAAAATTTGGAGGTAGGTTCTCCCTGGAGAATAAATCGACAGTGCAAAACCCTTGAAAAATGGTTTTGAAGGAACCTGAGAACTTGCATACCCTCACAAATGGCCGAAAAATCACATTATCTTTGGGTCTACAAAAGAGTCACACCACAGCGTACATGAACGTCACCATGCCAGAAGACGAGGGCCATCACCCCCTGACGCCACAAATGATCGTCTTTAAAATGGCCAAGTTACAAGTGCCGATAAAAAAGACAGCTACGTCGTCAATTAGCAAGAACTATACACTGGCAGATAGTAGAACACCTCTTCCAGCACCGAGGACATGTCCCTCATCTTCCTTTTCGAGTTTTCTTGTTATGAGTCTGTTATGACTATATTTATTTTTTGATTTTTTGATTGTTGTTGAGACAAAACCAGGTTTTATCTCAGAAGGGGCGTGAGAGTATAATTATTATTATGTTACTTCGTTTGTTATTTTGTGTCCGGTTGACACCCATGGAATTTTATTTTCGAAGGGGCGTGTTATGTTATGACGTAATGTCGTACAACTTTAGCCCTACTGTGTATGCACGCACGCATATCTTTGAAAGTCTTCTCTGTCGTTTACAGATTGAATCTTGTCAATATTTCTACTTCGTGTATTCTAACTAATAAACTACTTGTCTCTTGTCTACCGAACCTAACAGCGGCGAAGAACATACTGCCGAGGGGACTGGAAACAAGTAAGTACACCTCATTTTGTTTACTAATTTCGCTGCCACAATTGTACGTGTACGCACACAAGCATGTGACAAGGCGCGACCTAGGAGAAAATGTTCCACACACCCACTCATTAAACCATAGGGATGAGCAGTTGTTTAGCGAGTTGAAGACGACAATAGTCAATGTTTCTGATGCAGTCCAGGCGAGTAGCCCGCATGGGGGAAGTGCACTCCCCTAAACATTTCGACCTAGATTCAGCATGCACATACTGACGATGAGTGACATGCACCTGTCATACACATATTATGCGGCCCTGCACCCCCCCCCCTCCCAAAGGGAACCAGCTACGCCCCTGTAGTCTATCCAGTTAGCTACGAATTCAATCGTGATTTCGTGCTTGTAGTTCAGAGAGCGATTCCTCTTACTGGTTTCAAAGAGCGCATGTCTGAGAATACCAAAGTATGTGTGCAAGTGGATCTCTCCGATTTCGCTCAAAATTTGGAGGTAGGTTCTCCCTGGAGAATAAATCGACAGTGCAAAACCCTTGAAAAATGGTTTTGAAGGAACCTGAGAACTTGCATACCCTAACAAATGGCCGAAAAATCACATTATCTTTGGGTCTACAAAAGAGTCACACCACAGCGTACATGAACGTCACCATGCCAGAAGACGAGGGCCATCACCCCCTGACGCCACAAATGATCGTCTTTAAAATGGCCAAGTTACAAGTGCCGATAAAAAAGACAGCTACGTCGTCAATTAGCAAGAACTACACACCGGCAGATAGTAGTGTAGCGGGCCGCAGTCTCTCTCGGAGGCAAATGCACACGGGTCTCAGTGAACACACTGTAACTGGCAATTGAAATGTACTGGCAACGAAATTAACTAACTGGCAACTAAATTAACTGATTGGCAACTAAATTAACTGACTGGCTATTAAATTAACTAACTGGCTATTAAATTAACTGACTGGCAATAAAAGAATCGTGAGCAGCAGCTTTTATGCAAAGGCAGACTCCGTACGCTAGTGTACGGGGATACGCTAACGTATGGGGATACAGTACGGGGATATGCTAACGTACGGGAATACAGTAACGTACGGGTTATGCTAACGTACGGGAATACGCTATACGCTACACCTCCCCTCTCAAATACAATCACGTCCTCGTGATTCGAATACTACATGTAGGTGATAGCTGGACATCAACAACTGGCTGCTATTTAGAAAAAAACTGGCGGCATGCATGGTCGCGTCGGAATAAACTCGACGATAAGAGATAGGCAGAATGGATGGACGACTTGAATAATATAATACAGGTATGGAGTCGTGAACATTATAGTAAATCGCGAATTACTGGGAGAGCGTCAACCGGAGTATGGCAAATAATATCGGAAATGATAACGTTTGGAATAGACAGAAGAATGAACTGATAAACAAATCATAAAGTAGAAGCACACCAGGTTCACACGATCTCACGGGGTCAAAAAGGGGAAAGAACTGTCCTCAAAATAGGACCTGAAAAACCACAGCACTCTTGCTGCACAACGCTGGCACAACCCGCCAGGAACATCGCAGTTCAAAAACCGAACTGAATACACTATACTATATAATTAATTAATTATCACTATTCACTATACGGGACATTGTCACACACATTGTCCCAGGTTAGCTGGGTAGACCGTGGCTCACCATGATCGGACGCCTACCAAACTAAACTGGATTCACACACTCGCATAAAGGAAGACTGAAGAGAATAGGAAGACTGAAGGAAGACAGGAAAGAAAATGCCATACCTGGAATCAGCGTAAGTAACCACGGCGGCGGCTGGAGCTATGGCGGAGGGCGAGCCAGGTTTTATCTTCATCTTGGTTGAGCCGGTCACTCAGAGCGGCTAGCTCGGCGTCAGACAGATGACCTCCCTCCTCGTCTTGAATCATGGTCTTCACATTGTCGATAGCATCGCTTGGCGCGACGTAAAGAGTGATGGTCTAGCCAGGAAGAGTGGTGACGAAATTCTGCATTCCACCACGGAGACGAAGTACCAAGTGAATAGTGGACTCGTGCTGAACATTGAAGTCACTCAGGGTTCGGCCGTCTGCCAACTGCGTGCGGGCGAAAATCAAACGCTGCTGGGTTTGGGGAATAAACTCCTTGTCTTGGTCAGCAGCCTGCCTGTCGTCGTCTGCATCAGCTTCGCCATCACCACCGGTAGTATACATGTAGGTAGCGGGTCGCTTGGAATCGCCATCGGAGTCTCCAGTGTGTGCCGTGCGGAGAGAAGGGTGATCCACGCTAGCACCCTGACTGTGCTTCAGGCTAATAAGCAGGGCCAAGCCCAGGAAGGCAAGAAACATGATTCTCATCTTGATTCGTCGCACGGAGCTGTAGCGGGTTGAGCCATGGGGTCCGAGAAACGTGTAAAGTAACACAGTTAGGTATAGAATAAAACAAAATGAATTTACCGCTGCCACCAATTTGTAGCACATAAAACAGGTGGGGTCGAATCTGACAAAGTTGACTTTAACCACCGCTGCCACCAATTTGTAGCGGGCCGCAGTCTCTCTCGGAGGCAAATGCACACGGGTCTCAGTGAACACACTGTAACTGGCAATTGAAATGTACTGGCAACGAAATTAACTAACTGGCAACTAAATTAACTGATTGGCAACTAAATTAACTGACTGGCTATTAAATTAACTAACTGGCTATTAAATTAACTGACTGGCAATAAAAGAATCGTGAGCAGCAGCTTTTATGCAAAGGCAGACTCCGTACGCTAGTGTACGGGGATACGCTAACGTATGGGGATACAGTACGGGGATATGCTAACGTACGGGAATACAGTAACGTACGGGTTATGCTAACGTACGGGAATACGCTATACGCTACAGTAGAACACCTCTTCCAGCACCGAGGACATGTCCCTCATCTTCCTTTTCGAGTTTTCTTGTTATGAGTCTGTTATGACTATATTTATTTTTTGATTTTTTGATTGTTGTTGAGACAAAACCAGGTTTTATCTCAGAAGGGGCGTGAGAGTATAATTATTATTATGTTACTTCGTTTGTTATTTTGTGTCCGGTTGACACCCATGGAATTTTATTTTCGAAGGGGCGTGTTATGTTATGACGTAATGTCGTACAACTTTAGCCCTACTGTGTATGCACGCACGCATATCTTTGAAAGTCTTCTCTGTCGTTTACAGATTGAATCTTGTCAATATTTCTACTTCGTGTATTCTAACTAATAAACTACTTGTCTCTTGTCTACCGAACCTAACAGCGGCGAAGAACATACTGCCGAGGAGACTGGAAACAAGTAAGTACACCTCATTTTGTTTACTAATTTCGCTGCCACAATTGTACGTGTACGCACACAAGCATGTGACAAGGCGTGACCTAGGAGAAAATATTCCACACACCCACTCATTAAACCATAGGGATGAGCAGTTGTTTAGCGAGTTGAAGACGACAATAGTCAATGTTTCTGATGCAGTCCAGGCGAGTAGCCCGCATGGGGGAAGTGCACTCCCCTAAACATTTCGACCTAGATTCAGCATGCACATACTGACGATGAGTGACATGCACCTGTCATACACATATTATGCGGCCCTGCACCCCCCCCCCCTCCCAAAGGGAACCAGCTACGCCCCTGTAGTCTATCCAGTTAGCTACGAATTCAATCGTGATTTCGTGCTTGTAGTTCAGAAAGCGATTCCTCTTACTGGTTTTAAAGAGCGCATGTCTGAGAATACCAAAGTATGTGTGCAAGTGGATCTCTCCGATTTCGCTCAAAATTTGGAGGTAGGTTCCCCCTGGGGAATAGATCGACAGTGCAAAACCCTTGAAAAATGGTTTTGAAGGAACCTAAGAACTAGCATACCCCTAAAAATGGCCGAAAAATCACATTATCTTTGGGTCTACAAAAGAGTCACACCACAGCGTACATGAACGTCACCATGCCAGAAGACGAGGGCCATCACCCCCTGACGCCACGAATGATCGTCTTTAAAATGGCCAAGTTACAAGTGCCGATAAAAGACAGCTACGTCCTCAATTAGCACGAACTATACACCGGCAGATAGTAGAACACCTCTTCTAGCACCGAGGACATGTCCCCCATCTTCCTTTTTGGGTTTCTTGAAGTAAACTTTTTGAATTTTTCCACTCGACCATGTTGAAATATATCCAAATTCATACCTGAGCTGGAAAGCTCACCTCTCCGCGACGTCTCCTCGGCCATTTCTACTCCAATACTACTCCCAACGCTGCAGAAGGAAGTGTATTGTTGAAACGGACAAGGAAAAGCAGCGATGATCACTTGTCACTCCAATCGACAAGCTTCTTCTTGCGCCATCAACAATTTTTGCTGCGACCGTTGGTTCAAAAGTGACTCAAGTCCTGAGTGAAAGGGTGTACTATCCCCTGGTCAAGGCCATAAGGTTAATAATTGACCTGAACACAAAGGAAACCCTGCCAAGAGGAGGCTGTGGCTGCCATGCACACGTTTATAGACAAGGCAAAATAAGGTGAACTATTGTAAGGACTAAGATTATAACGGATGTCGACTGGAACATTTTGTGGCGGTGACAAATGGTGGCTGTTGGGTAGCCAAATGTTATCTTGAGACAGTGCTTGAAACGTCGAACGAGTTTGTCGTGCAAGGTTACTGATATGATGCCTTGTGTCTTTGAATCTGAATACTAGAACTCCAAACATGCGACTTTTAGTCATTTCGCTCAATTCTGCTACTTTATCCTTGCAGTCACCCAGATTGCATTGAATACTGTCGAATGCGTCCTCCAGGGTATGGACAGTCACTAGGTACGAGTGGTACGTCTTCAGGCAGCTCCCGAGCAGTAGTTCACGACACGAGGTAGAGCGACGCCGGTTAGCATGAGCCGCTGTTGTCTTTGTGGACCAGAAAACGGCAGTTACAAAATGTTTCACCAGCCTTGCTCAGCGATTTTCTCCCCGTAGATAATCTTCTGTCAAGAAAAGGTCAGAACACACCACTGTAGTGTCGGTAAAAAACTCTCCATCCCTTTCCTCCTGTCGAATAGCAGCAGTCCATTTCCTTCACAGTTCAGGATTAGATGGAAATTTATGGAAAGGACGAATGTCATTTGCTGGGGGGGGGGGGGTAACGCCGGTCACCAGTACATCCTGGAACACATCAACGGTAATAAGACAGCGACAAATCACTTCAGCCGCGATAAGCTGTTTCTTCTATCCTGCCAGGTAACTGGTTGTCAGATTTACGGCGTTAGTTTTTCAGCAAACTGAACGCCGAAGGAAGTGCTAAAACCAGTAACAGTGGAACTGCATGCATTCCATTTATGCACGTGCAGCACCTGATCACATAAGCATTAATTTATATTTTGACAAGCCTAAATTCCGTGTACACTTTTCACGTCCCGTACAATTGACAAGCTAAGCGTAGGGCATTAATCGCATGCCCTCTCAACTTTTCAAGCGCTTATTTCGCATATCGATTGAGAATGTAGCTGGCTGTTTTATCAGCGCTTGTAAATTGACTATTTTCTAGATGATCATTTGTGGCGTCAGGGGGTGATGGTCCTCGTCTTCTGGGATACTGGCGTTGCTCTTCTAAAGTGAGGCAAAGTTGGCTTGATGGAGTTTTGTTTGTGGCTTATTCGTGTACGCTGTGGCGCCGTGACTCGTTTGTAGACCCATAAATATTGTGATTTTTCGGCCATTTGCGAGGGGTATGCAAGTTTCAAGGTTCCCTTCAGACACTTTTTCAAGGGCTTTGCACAGTCGAGCTACACCCCAAAGGGAACATACCTGCAAATCTTGAGCGAAATCGGAGAGATCCATTTGCACACATACTTTGGTATTCTAAGACATTCTCTTTTTTAAAGGTCTGTTATGCATGGATCCAGGGTGAAGGAGTAACCTTGGCTTTCACATACTACAACAGTTACTGCACTTCATAGCAATTGGCCAGAAGGGTTGAGAACCTTTTTTGCTGCAATCTTTGGTTGCTGTTTCTTGTCTTTGCTGCTTAGCGCTGTGAAACGCACTCGTTTAATGGAAACTCCGGTGAATGTCGCTATGACCATGTCGGTCGAAAAAGTACCAGGCATTGGGCCAAAGACTCGAGACAACCTGAGAGGAGCGGGTTACGAAACAATCTCGCAGCTGCTCGCGAAATTCCTGATGGAAAGTGGGGACCCAGTGCTTTTTCAGTATTGGATGCGACGAACAGGCTTCGCGAAACGCGACCATGCTGAAGATTGTTACGAAGCTATACACGCGTATTACCATGCGCACAAGGGCACACTCAGTTCCTTTGTTGTTAACGCTTGTGCCTGCCCCAAGCCCTTAATCCCGGAATGATTTGTTTTCACCTGCGCGTAGAACAAATTAAAAGTACAATAATGACGTTCGTCCTTCGTCATTTGTGATTGCAAACCCTCCTTGCAAGTCGTTTCCAGCTTCTTTTCCAATTCCACCCTACTGTACTTAAAATATTTTTAGTCGTTCAATGTGTACAAATGCATGTATACCTGTACGCGTGTGTGTGCATGTGTTTATTATGTGTGTATGTGTATGTGTGTGTGTGTATGTGTGTGTGTGTGTGTGTATGTGTGTATGTGTATGTGTGTGTGTGTGTGTGTGTGTGTGTGTGTATGTGTATGTGTGTGTGTGCGTGTGTGTGTGTGTACGAGTGTGTGTGTGCGTGTGTGTGTGTGTGTGTGCATGTTTGTGTGTGTGTGTGTGTGTGTGTGTGTGCCAGATAGTTCGGTTGGTGGGTGCCCTTATGCCTGATAGTGCTGGGTCTACCACCAACAGGCTCGGCTGCTTGAAGGTGTAAGGCTGTACCTCCTGCCTTTGTTGGTTTCATGGTACATGGTTCATTATTATGTCATTTTTTTGTTCAAGTACACATACCTCTTGCCCATGGATTTCTTCTGGCTACGCTTGTGCAATCAGTGGTGCTAGTGAAGCTTACATCAGATCCACTCTGATTAAGCCACTCACACTAGTAGCAAGTATTACCTTTAGTGGGGGAGGAGAAGGGGGAGGGGAGGGCTAATTGTATTTGGAATGCGAGATGGATAACCTGATGTCGTCAATCCATTTCTGCACCTTGTACAGTGCTCACGCGTTTACTGAGGTGTGGTGAGTCCACAGGGGGGGGGGGGGGGGGGGGGGGGGGGGATCATTTCCAAATCCACCCATAGTTTGGAGATTTCAGGGGTGTTGGCTGCGGGGCAGTTCGATAGTCGTCTTTCCAAGACTGGCTTTTGAGTCTCTCTCTCTCCCTCTCCGAAGGAGACCCGCATGACCAGTTTTAGCAGTGAGCAATTACACGTGCAAGTGTGTGTGACTGTGTGTGTGTGGGGGGGGGGGGGGGTGTTCTTCAGCCTTGCAAGCTGTTGAATGGTGCAATCCCAGCACGAGTTGCTATGGCTTCTGCTGTAGCATCGCTATCATCGCCGGAGGCGGGCGTCAAATGGTCCAATGGTGTGTGTGCGCTCGTGTGCGCTCGTGTGTGTGTGTGTGTGTGTGTGTGTGTGTGTGCCATATGGTGCAGCGGGTTCGATTCCCGACGATTGTCACACACGTCTCCTCCTGGCTTTTCTTTCATTCTCCTGGGTGGTTACCAACAGTCAGTGCATGCCGGAGTATGTGATGTGCCCGGGGGAAAAATAAAAAGGACTAAAAGGTAGGGATTCACTGGCCAGAAAAGCCACTTCATTGCTGTGTGGTGAAGACCAGGCTGAAAAGTTTTTTTGAAAGTCCACTATGTTCCCGAATGAATGCGGGAAGTGGCGGCGGGGCCCTGCTGCTCAGCCGACCTTGGTGGTGGCGGTCAATTCTTCAGCCTTGCAAGCTGTTGTATGGTGCAATCCCAGCAAAAGTTGCTATAGTTTCTGTTTTAGCATCCCTGTCATAGCCTCCGGTGATGGGCGTCAAAGGACCAAAGGTACATGCATACATGCACACTCACATTCATGTGTGGGTACACACTTCAGCTTGCATGTGTGCGTGGGCATGAGCGCGTGTACACAAGCGCATGCACGCACTCACACGTCAGTGCGCTCGGGTGCATGTGCTATCTTCTGATGTTGCCTATCCAGTGGTGTGTCCAGGATTCGCCTGAGGGGGAGGGTTGCGGCCGGGATGGGGTGGGGATAGATGACATCATGCTACTGTCCCAACGCAGCCGTTTTGAAAACCGATGTCAAGGAGCCGTAAATCTCACACACCACGAGCAGTATTTCTGTACACGCAGCAACATAATTGTACGTAGTCCTTGAAAACTTCAAATTTTTTTTTAATTAATTGTTGGCCGTTATGCGAGTGAATCAACTGCAATTATGTATGCGAGTCCAACAATTTCTCACCGCTCAAAGCATCCTTTACATAGGCAGCGGTACTATGTCCACTTGCCACTGTGCGCTGTTCTTCATGTTCTGGCTAGTCGCTGACAACAGGTGCTTCCACGTCTGGCGGAGTGTGACTGTCAGTCCGCTCTGAAAGTTCAACTGGAAAAACAGCGACTTCAATTCATCACTCCCCCTGTTTCCTGTTGGAGCGGCAGCAGGAGTTGCGCAGCCACAGGAACGCTTTGCAAAAATTCCAGGCTCTGCTGGCTAGAGCTTGGCCTTTTGGGATGTCGCTGAGACATCGAAGAAAAGTCTTCCAGTCAACCGAAACACGATTCGAACGAGGATGAACGCCTGAGCCCTCGGCATTCGAATCGTGTTTTGGTTGACTCGAAGACTTTTCTTCGATGTTTGTACGTTGAAGACGGGTCCAGCGCGTCCCAGCACGCGCAGGGATCACACTGTACAACAGTACAGTGTACACAGTCAGGTCACCGTGTTTCTGTAGCCGTGCGCGTGCATGCTCACTGACTGTACTCTGTAGACTGTTTACTACTCAGTGTAGTGTACTAGTAGTCGGCTAGTCGACTGTGTACTACAGTTCTGGCAACTGAAATCCGACCCCCTGAGCGGTGCGCTCACATCGCAAAGACCCAACACGCGATAGTAAAACTACGAAATAGAGACCGCTAGAATGTGAACGCATCGCTAAGGGGCGGGATTTCAGTTGCCAGCACTCTAGTACTCTGTACACTGTACAGTGTGTACAATCAACACCAGCTCCAGCACCGTAGATCTAACGTGCAACCGCTTTTGGACGGTCGTTTCAGGCCGCGCGCGCCCGCCCCGAGCCTAGATAGCCCTGCCTTTTATTTTTCGAAACCTAGGTCGAAACTTTGAGAGGGGGGGGGCGCCCTCCCCCCCCCCACCACCACCTAAACCCGCCGCTGCTATCCCATGCTTTCCTTTGGTGGTGCCAAGTAGAAGTCTGTTGTAGTTCCTCTCAGAAGTGCATGTGGAACTCGCAGTGATTGTTATTCTACCTTTGTTTCAAACAACCTTGCTTTTTGAGGTACAGTATCTCCCCATAGGGTACACAAAGTATTTTGTGCAATGGCAGCAATGCTTACCTGAACCAGTGAAGAACGCGTAGAACAAACCGTTGAAGCTGGCAAGCTGCAGGCTGCGGAGTTGACAACACCACCAGCAGATAAATAGGCCACGCAGAGTGCCGACATGGGTGATGATGATCTTGCACGTTTGGCGACTGGTCAGCGGCGCGTAGATCTACGGCTGTGGCACTGGCAGCCAAGATCACGTATCCCAAGCATCTCCCCTATATCTACAGTGAGTAAGGACTCAGGGCGGGCACGCCGACTTGGCAGCAAGTAACAACTCGCCTACTCCGCCGGAACTTCGCTCGACTCGACCTCAGTAAGACCTGGAAATAAACTTTTGAAACTTTGATTTGTGCACTATGGCTGGTACCCACCCTATGAGGCTAAGGAAATCATGCTTTGTTTGGCCTAAGCACCATGTTTAGTGACGTGACTAGTGGATTGGACCAGGCGATGGGTTGATGTGGCGCTAGCTCTAGCTCTTCTCACTTTGAAATGAAAGTCAAAATCACAACAAAAATGTATGTCACCCCCGCGGGTTTGAGAAAGTAAGCTTGCAGCGTCGTAGTCTTCTGCACAGGCGCATACTACTGTAGTCACTGATTTGAACGTTAGAGCGCGCGCATCTCCTTGTCAAACCGAGAAGTCGACTGAGAACGAAAATAGTTGCGCCAAGAATGCTTGAGAATTGTGAATGGACCGTATGCGTGTTTTAAAAACAAAATGGCGTCACGATTTATTGAAAGTGGTATAGTTGGTGGTACGAGTGTTCAAACCCATTTGAACTTCATACTGTTCGTCTTCTTTTTGACATGCTCTCTTTCCATCGTCCTTAGCTTTTGTTTGTTGTGAGTTGTTTTGGCTTTCTCCTGTACCTCTGGGGGATGCCAAGTGATGGTTTTGAGAGGCTGGTGATGGCTGTGAGCGAGAGTTTGCCGATCGGCGTCGTCCTCGCTGTAGCGATGAAAATACTAGTTACTGCGCACCTGGCAGATATCACAACATGTCGGAGCGTTCAGGAGCAAAGGAATCTTGGGTTTTCACTGGAATCTAGTTCCTCCAGCATCGTGTAGCCCACCGTCGGTGAATGGCGGTCCAGAAAGGTCGAACCTGGTCTTCTGCAGCATCTCGCAGTCCTGCGAGGCACACCGGCTGAATACGACTGTCATGTATTCTACAAATAAAAATCACGAAGTAGTGGACTTTATAGTGATGAGTATATCCTGTATGCTGCAAAAGACGCAGGAAATGTGACTGGTGTCCGTACACTGGACGCCAATATCATCCCAGTCTTCTCCTGCAGGATCTGTTTGACATTTTTTTTTCAAAAAAGGAGGCGGGAGGCCAAAACCGAGCTGCAGTCTCTACTGCATTTGCCTTCAAGCTTGAAGATGACTGGCCAAGCCAGCACATGTTCTATATAGACAACCTCATGAGCAGCGGAATTGCGGTCTCTGACATCCTGCAGATCGACCTCCGCGGCCGTCGTGGATTTTGTTCAGTAACTGTCTCGAGCCTGGCGGTCCGGGATCGTGTGCTTTCCCAAGGCATCTCTGTTGCTGGTAAGCCCGTTCAATTAACTATCAGTGGTGCTGACGTTGTCAGCGTCCATGTATTTGGATGCCCCCATTCCCTGTCGGATAGTGCTGTCGCAACCTCATTCCTGAAATTTGGCTCAGTGATAGGGGTCCCTCAGCGAGGAAAATTCTGGGTTGAGAACTTCGAAATTGAAACCGGCACCAGGTACGTCACCATTCTACCGCGTACAGTCGTACCTTCGTGTGTAGCAGTCGGCCAGCTGAAACTGCGTACATGGCACAAAGGACGGGCTAAAACATGCTGGCACTGCAACAAGCCAAGTCATGAGGCAAGGGACTGCCCCGTACTGAGTACGAAGGGAAAGAAGCATGGCTAGGAGAAAACTTCCAGTCCGGAAATGGGTCTCAGTGACGACACGCAGCAGCAGCAGCAGCAGCAGCAAGTGGCGTCCGCGGACATCACTGCTGGAACAGTGGACGCACATGGCATTACTGGTGCGGCAACTCCCCACAGCGAGGCACGTCATGCACCAGCCCAAGGGCAGCAGGCCGATCCCCAGCAGCCGCGGCTACCACTGCCTAAGCAGCAGCAGGAACAGCAGCAGCAACCAGAGCAGAAGCAGGGATCCAGGATTCCCAGTAGCCAAACTACACCTGTTATACCAGCGTTCCGGCTGGCATCCCGGGGCAAAGCGGCCCATGCGTCTCCGGATGAGGAAGGTTTTACCCTGGCCTCAGGTAAACACACATTCCATCCCCGCGTCCTCACCCGTGAGCAGTATCCCCAGCCGACAACCGCAGCAGTCAACATGATGATCCGCTGCCGCAGAGAAAGCTGCTAACGGCCACAGTGTCCTGCAAGGTAACTATTCTAGTATATCCACGCTATAACTTTCTTACCATTATTCTCACCTAT